GCTCTTTTTAAAAGGCTGGAATCAGCCAGTAATGCTGTTTTTTTTTTCTTTTCACACCAATATGTCCATCAAACCCTATGGTTAAGGAAAAGTAACTTTGAAATGTCATGTAAAAATAGCAATATTGTGCTTTATAGATAACAGTACAGAAGGACAGCCCACTCATCCATATCTCCTTTGAAAAGATGCAGCTCTACAGACTAACTCTCCTTCCTTTTGCTTTTTAATGCCCTACGATGTGTGTTTGAGTATTTATCTTTCTTCTCTTTCTGTAAAATGTATTCTTTGCCCACCTACAGCTGATTTCACTCGAGCTTCTTTGTCTTTTACTCCACTCTACCTGGTTGTTTGTGAGGACACGTCCACACTCACAGACAGTTGAAGTTGTGTTCTTGGCAGTGTATGAGTTTATGGAAACGTGCACAGTGTGACATGGATAATGGCGTTTGCAAATTACATACATGTTTGGTCTTTTGCTTGTGTTTTCTGATCGTTCAAAGTCGGTGTGCACTGATTTGGACTCGTTGCCAGCTGTGCAGTGATATTAGTAATTAGTATGTGTGGGTAAGAGAGAGAGGGCTCTAGAGATAAAGTGTCTGTGTGTGTATGTGCACGCACGTGTGGCATCAGTGCTTGTGTCATTTTTGTCCTGCATTGCTTTTATCTAAAAGGGAATCCTTAATTAAGAAGTCGGTGTCGCCTGTGTTCTCTGACCTCCAGCCAAAGCACAATGTTGTCATTGAAGTCTTGAGACATCACAGAGGAGCGAGGCTCCCCGCTTCCCTTTTTACATTCAGCTATATTTTTTTGTAAACTCTCACTATCTAGTCTTCAGCTCCTCTGGCCCTTTTTGAATCTCTTTTCATCGCACCATGTCCTCCCCTCTTTCTCTCCTCCTTTCATCACTTTTAGTCTGATCATGCTTTACCATTGGACTGAAACATTTATCCAATTTAACTCTAAGCACAGAAATACTATTTTGAAGCCCTACGCCATAAACAACACACCTCCAGTAAATGTCACTGGACTTAACTGTGATCAGTCCCCAAATAGAAAGTGAGGTTTCAACATTTCACCAGAGGAGAGGTCTCTGCAGCCTCATAGTCTCTGCACTTCCCTCACCCCTCTCCTTTCTTTTGCTTGTCTTCCTGGTTTTCTTATTTTCCTTTCTCATATTTCCATCTGTCTTTGTCTTTATCACTCTGTCTCTGACTGAGCTCAGTCAAGGCAGCTGATAGTGCTGTCCAGCTTGAGTGGAGTGGAGTGGAGTTGGTTTTCTTGATGATATGGCAGCTAGGCATCAGGCTTAGAGACAGTTGTTGTAGGGTAAATACATAAGTCCCATCAGCCATGACCTTCACCTGCCCTCACCAAGCATGTCACTCACACACATGGCAGCTAATGACCTTGCCATTCATCAGAATTATTCACATTTAACTCTTTTCCACACTGGTGCTCTCTTCTGCTATCATCTCTTTCTTCTGTGTTTGCTTGCACCGCCACAGTGCCTGAGCCTCCAGTCTTTAACGGCACTCTTTGTCCCAGTGTTCCCGATGGGGTAGTTGGTGAGCTCTATCCCCTGTAGTCCCCATTTCCACATGTAATGATCCCCCTTCTCATTGTTGTCTGGGCTCATAATGTCCCGCTGCAGCTTCCTGTTGCCAGAGACCTGCCTAATTGGTCACTCACTTTGTGCAGGGCCCCCCCATTCCCCTGGCCCCACAGGCAGCAGTTCCACCTATTTTCAGCTTTCTCTACAGGACCTAAGCCTTCCTTCATCACCCCTGTCTCTCTTGTCGCAGCATACCCATATTTCAAATGTAAGTATGTATATGTGTGTTGGTGTATTGCTGCATGTTACAGCAGTGGCAGTGTAAAATTCAGCCTCGTGTCTCTGCCAACTTTCTTGTCGTTTATCAGTACCTCAGCAGTTTCAGCAAGGCTTCAATCTCCACACTAGAGTGAAATTGATGAATAACAATGTACTGGATGTGTGCACACAGTAGGTGTTTTCAGCAAGACTAGAAAAGTTCAATCTGACTAAAAAGAATAATTGGCTGCATAAACAGGGTTTTGAAGAAGCTATCAAATGAACGGTGAGGAAGACTGTGGAATGTTTTTTTTTTTCTTTGACAGCCTCTTTTATCGTTGGTGCTTTCATTTGATCAAACTACATGAAAAGAACACTCTAAACATGTGCTTCAAATCACACAAAGAGCTCAGGCTGGTTAGACAAACACTTTTTATTTTCAGCATACATAGAAATCAACTGGCTGAGCATATTGTTACTTTTATATGAGAAGAGTTGAAAGCCTCATTCTGTTCATTAGCTATCTGCTCGCCCCAGTCCTTGGTCCCAGAAGAGTTTAATTACTGTCATCTCTAAGAAAGAATAAAGCTTCTTATTTGTAACCTCTTATTATGCATGTGGTGATAATGGAGTTCTGAATATTTGCTGAATATTTATTGATTGCCTCCTATGGTGCAGTTCAGGAGTGTCGTGTATAAAACCTGAGACATTTCAGTTTGGTGGCATGTTTAAGTAACTTCATCATTATAGCTAAGAATTATGCACTCAGCCGTGGTCCGGCCCTGATAAGAGTGTGTAAAGTTTACAGCAAATCACCGTGTATTATAAATGATGCCAAGACTACCTGCCTGCATATCACTGAGTGAGGTGTGGCCAAAAGTATGGCAGCTTTCAGCTCACAGAGGCCATTGTAACTAAAATAGTGTTCTGTACGCAGCACTTAAATAAGGTAGAACATAACCAGTTACTGCTGAGCCTTGATTGTTTTCCATCTTCCTGTTATGTGATATAGAAGAAGTTGATCCATCTAGACCAAAATGCTTTTCAGTACTTTTTAGGAGGATGAAAATATTCATTCATTTTTTACCGCTTAGTCCCTGAACGGGGTCACGGGTGGGGCCGGAGCCAATCCCGGACGGCAATCGGGCGAAGGCGGGGTACACCCTGGACAGGTCGCCAATCCATCGCAGGGCTAACACATAGACGAACAACCACACATACACGCACGCACTCCGATGGGCAATTTAGAGACACCAATCAACCTAAGCTGCATGTCTTTGGTCAGTGGGAGGAAGCCGGAGTACCCAGAGAGAACCCACGCAAGCACGGGGAGAACATGCAAACTCCACACAGAAAGGTCCCAGGGGGGGCCCGAACCCAGAACCTTCTCGCTGTGAGACAACGGCGCTAACCACTGTGCCACCATGCTGCCCTTCTCACATGTTCTTTGATCAAAACAAATATGAATGCAACTGATCTATCCTTGGGTTACACTGCAGTATGCTCTGAAGATGACAAAATAGAAGAGTGTGCAGAGTTTTGGTGAGATCCTGGATGGAGGGGGTGGACTCCTATGGGCAATTTAGAGACACCAATCAACCTAAGCTGCATGTCTTTGGTCAGTGGGAGGAAGCCGGAGTACCCAGAGAGAACCCACGCAAGCACGGGGAGAACATGCAAACTCCACACAGAAAGGTCCCAGGGGGGGCCCGAACCCGGAACCTTCTCGCTGTGAGGCAACGGCGCTAACCACTGCGCCACCGTGCTGCCCAGGATGAAAATATTTATCATTTAAAGTACTGTTGTCGTAATTACAACTTGAATGTTGCGTTTGTAGTTTTGGTCATCATTCCTCTTTAGAATAATAACCTTACACTCTTGAAGTTAATTGCTGAGATCTCTGAGTACGGTGACACTGCAGTGCTAAAAAGAAGTGAGACGGGCCAAACATCACAGTCAGTCGGGTTAGCCAGACTTGTCTGGGAGAGGAAAACATCCATCCATCCATCATCTATACTGTTTATCCTGAAGAGGGTCGTAAGGTTGCAAAGCAAATTGATGAGCACACTGTTGCCGTAACCAATATACAGTGCCTTGTGAAAGTATTCGGCCCCCTTGAACTTTGCGACCTTTTGCCACATTTCAGGCTTCAAACATAAAGATATAAAACTGTAATTTTTTGTGAAGAATCAACAACAAGTGGGACACAATCATGAAGTGGAACAAAATTTATTGGATATTTCAAACTTTTTTAACAAATAAAAAACTGAAAAATTGGGCATGCAAAATTATTCAGCCCCTTTACTTTCAGTGCAGCAAACTCTCTAAAGAAGTTCAGTGAGGATCTCTGAATGATCCAATGTTGACCTAAATGACAAAGGATGATAAATAGAATCCACCTGTGTGTAATCAAGTCTCCATATAAATGCACCTGCACTGTGATAGTCTCAGAGGTCCGTTTAAAGCGCAGAGAGCATCATGAAGAACAAGGAACACACCAGGCAGGTCCGAGATACTGTTGTGGAGAAGTTTAAAGCCGGATTTGGATACAAAAAGATTTCCCAAGCTTTAAACATCCCAAGGAGCACTGTGCAAGTGATAATATTGAAATGGAAGGAGTATCAGACCACTGCAAATCTACCAAGACCTGGCCGTCCCTCTAAACTTTCAGCTCATACAAGGAGAAGACTGATCAGAGATGCAGCCAAGAGGCCCATGATCACTCTGGATGAACTGCAGAGATCTACAGCTGAGGTGGGAGACTCTGTCCATAGGACAACAATCAGTCGTATACTGCACAAATCTGGCCTTTATGGAAGAGTGGCAAGAAGAAAGCCATTTCTTAAAGATATCCATAAAAAGTGTCGTTTAAAGTTTGCCACAAGCCACCTGGGAGACGCACCAAACATGTGGAAGAAGGTGCTCTGGTCAGATGAAACCAAAATCGAACTTTTTGGCAACAATGCAAAACGTTATGTTTGGCGTAAAAGCAACACAGCTCATCACCCTGAACACACCATCCCCACTGTCAAACATGGTGGTGGCAGCATCATGTTTTGGGCCTGCTTTTCTTCAGCAGGGACAGGGAAGATGGTTAAAATTGATGGGAAGATGGATGGAGCCAAATACAGGACCATTCTGGAAGGAAACCTGATGGAGTCTGCAAAAGACCTGAGACTGGGATGGAGATTTGTCTTCCAACAAGACAATGATCCAAAACATAAAGCAAAATCTACAATGGAATGGTTCACAAATAAACATATCCAGGTGTTAGAATGGCCAAGTCAAAGTCCAGACCTGAATCCAATCGAGAATCTGTGGAAAGAACTGACAACTGCTGTTCACAAACGCTCTCCATCCAACCTCACTGAGCTCGAGCTGTTTTGCAAGGAGGCATGGGCAAAAATTTCAGTCTCTCGATGTGCAAAACTGATAGAGACATACCCCAAGTGACTTACAGCTGTAATCGCAGCAAAAGGTGGCGCTACAACGTATTAACTTAAGGGGGTTGAATAATTTTGCACGCCCAATTTTTCAGTTTTTTTATTTGTTAAAAAAGTTTGAAATATCCAATAAATTTCGTTCCACTTCATGATTGTGTCCCACTTGTTGTTGATTCTTCACAAAAAATTACAGTTTTATATCTTTATGTTTGAAGCCTGAAATGTGGCAAAAGGTCGCAAAGTTCAAGGGGGCCGAATACTTTCGCAAGGCACTGTACACATCACCAGAGCTGCAAAATTAACCCTAACATCTGAGTCATTATAAAGTTACATAGCCACAGGATATTACCATAACAGAATGACAGCGTGAGCTCACTGGGACATTTGAACTGGCTGAATCCGTGTACAAAAAAAAAAAAAAAAAAGCCAAGATACAACACTAGTGAATAGAAATCCACATGCCATTAAACATTTTTAGCCAAACTCTATTTCAAGCTGTGAAACTGTCTCTGGAAATGACAGTCACATTAAATAACAGTCTGCCATCTTTTTTGCTTGTGTGTGGTTGTTGTCAGGGTTTAGTGTTCAAGGCTCAGGTTGTGTTTCAAAATGAAGGTGACAGCTGGGCGATTGGCAACATTTCCCATCTCCTTCAAGATCACTCAGATAGCTCATAAAGAGACGGACAGACACACAACAGCAGACCTGGAACCGTTTCTCCCTCCCTCAATATCTTTCCATCTGTCTGCCAGGCTCTTTCTCTTTTCTTCTCCGCCCATCTCTTCACTACTGTCCCTTATATAGTATCTGCATTGTTACTGTGGGTTTTATGTACTGTAGCTTCTTTACATCTTAAACAGGCACAAAACAAAAGCATCTTTTATATCTGTAACACAGTTTGTCAGCTATCTACTAATTCTATCTCCACTTCAGTGTTGAGTCATTTTTTTAAGTTGTACATCCTACAAGTTCTGAAAAGGTCCCATTGCCCCCCACCCTTACACCCCATCATGAGGTGAATTGAACAGACTAATCAGGACATAATTCTGGATTCCTTTCCACAGGGACGATGAGCATGCCCTAATACTGCAGTACTGTCAGGCGCTGGGAGGAGAAGGCTCTCCCTGCAGTCAGCCCCAGAGTCCTGCCCAGATCCTCCAGGCTGTGGAGAGGGAGGAGCGAGGAGAGCTGGAGCGGATAATCGCTCGTCTGGAGGAGGACCAGAGGTAGGGCATTATGCTTCTGTTGAAGAAGCTTGAAAGAATTTGCTGTGGAAAGAGGCTGGTTAAGATTCAAACTACAGGGAAATTTTCACTTAAGTTTGGACAACTTTCTAAAGATGAAGAATCATGTTACAGGTGAGATTTCTTCTAAATCAATGAGATATGTTTTATGGAAGTTATGCAATTACTTAAAATCAAAGTTTTTCTTTCCTTAGTGGTATTTACTGTTCACTCACAGCTTGTACCCCCAGTCTGTCCCACATGCCAAGTCCTTCCCTGGTTTGATTAGCAAATGGAAATAGATCAGAGGCAGTCACTTTACAAGCTGTTGTTATAAAGATGCTTTTGAACAGCCAGTGGCTGGACTGGAGTGATTTAACACTGATTACACACACACACAGCCACTGTGGGAGAGCAAGGAGAACAGAGAGAACTTTAGTGTCAGGCTCATAAATGCCAGCTTATGTCAAGCACCGCAGCTTTTTGTTCTGCACTGGGAGAGAGGGTAAGTCAGGTCTATCCACCTAAAAATAGGATTTCTCTGAGAGGGACCTGGCATTCCACACAAACGTAGATTTTGTTGAAAATGATGATTTTGGAAGATGTATTTCTTGATGCTGCCGAGCTGTTTATTTAGCCAAGCCTCATTAAAAATAAATAGGCCCAACAAAACTGACTGAGTATACCTGTACATATACAGACATACTGTAGACAATTACACTTATATACTTATGTTTTCATACATATTTATACAGATAAGTGTTGTGTTTCTAACCCTTATTTCTCAGGACCCTGCAGAGGGAGTATGAGCAGCTGAAGGAGCAGCACGGCCAACGAGGGGCCCCTGCTGGAAGCCCCTGGGAGTCCGAGGGCCCCTCTTCCCATCCTGATGAGGCCGATCTTCTAGCCGAGGCCAAGCTGCTACGACAACACAAGGGCCGTCTGGAAGCCCGCATGCACATCCTGGAGGAACACAACAAACAGCTGGAGTCTCAGCTCCACCGCCTCCGACAGCTATTGCACCAGGTGACGTATCACACTGATTTGTCGGGCAGTTTTATCCCAAGAAAACACAGATTATGGCTGAGAGAAGAAATTGATAAATATTCACAGACTCATGTTTGGCCTGCTACCTTGTTTCTTGTCATTATGGATTTCTGCTTGGCACGTTTTCAGAAAGAATAGTAGTAGTTTTGGATCTTAGCAAACAGAAAACAACATAGATGTACAATAAGTTGTTTTCTGTTGAGGAAGGGTCTTAAAAACCTGAAGTAGCATAATCACAACAACGTGATATAAAGTCTATTTAGCAATATTTGGAAGGACTTAATAGCTGAGCTTTCAAAGCAACAAAAGACAGGTTCTCAAAATTAAAATGATTTTGGCCAAAAAGGCACGCTGCACCAATAAAACCATTGACATTAACAAAGTAGAATGTGAGGGCACATGCAGCAAATAGGACACTGACTGTTTAACCTTCACCATCACTGTAGCAGTTTACCCTGGTGATTTAGTTACTTGTAGTTTTAAAGAGAAGTGAAATGAACTGCTGGTTTTGCATCCTTTTAGTATTACACACACACAACCATAATTTAAAGTTTATTCCTCCCATACTGTAAGTAGTCTTTTCTTTTAGTTCATTAGGCTTGTTGTTGATGAGCAGCAGGGCAGTAATCACAGTTCATAATCTCCCTCACACACACCAGCTGGCAGGGCTGTTTCAGAACAGCTCATAAAATAAAATAAAAAACTAATTTAAAAGCGAAAATAATGACACAGAATTCTTCCAGTGAATGAAAGGATTTGTTCAAAGTCATTGAAATAAATCTTCAACATAAATATATACTTGTGCACCTATTAACCTGCACATATAGTAGACATTTATGCAAGTCTCTACAGGCAAGCCCATTCAGTTTTATTCTTAGTTTGCTGAGCCTTTGTATAACAATCTGCTCACCAATGCTCAGATTAGATCTAATCATATCATTACCAGGAGTCCAATATCCTTTTCAAGTCTGTCTATCAGTAACGTCCAGACTTGTTTACACATGGCCTAATTGCTGTGGTGGGATTGTTTGTACCATGTGAGAAATGTACAACCCTTAAGCCAAACAAACAGCATTCCCAACAAATCAGACCGAGCAAACACAGGGCTAGGTATCGGCTCTGTGCTGGCTGCAGAGCTGGAAGCACAGTAATAACTCAGAGGAATACGACCCAAGGAAGGCAGCTGACATGGCTCTGGATTTTTTATGACTGAAGATTAACATTTTGACAGAAAATGGTTTTTGTGCAGCCATTTTGCTCCATATTGGAGATTTCCCTCCAGTTTAGATTAGATATACAGCCGTTAACTTCCTGATTTGTATGTACAATTTGCAAACTACAGTATTATTTTATGAGGAGAGGTGTCAATGCCACGAGTTAGACATACTTTAGAAAGTTTTTTATTCAAAAGGTTTAATAAAAGCAACAAACTGAATAGAGATGATGAAAAGGAGAACTTGTTATGCATCAGAGTAGCGCCTCAATTAACATTTGTATATAAGGTTGTCTTTCTCTGTGTGCACTGAGTTTAACATCAGGCTTAGTGAAAGTTTTTTTGCATCGACGTCTCCACATCCTGAAGTAATGCGATTCTGATGCTGATTCTGAAAGGCAAACAATGCAAACACGATGGCACGCACAACTACCTGCATACATGCAACATCAGCTCAATAAGAACTTCAGTTTGACATTTCAGTCCCTGGAGTGCTGACGATCTGTCAGCTTGTTTTTCTGTCAACTGCAGCGTTACTGCCAATCTGCAGAATATTAAGCCCAGCCAGCCTGATGGCACGCATTAAACTCACTGCGCTGTAGGCTGACCAGAGCTCTGACCTTAGCTATTTTAAGACGAGCCTAGAGACACTGGCTGCGCTCTGGAGACGTTTCCAACATGTTAGTCTTTACTAGCGCTGGCGGCACCAGGAGATGAAGGAGAAGAAGACGGGAGGAGGCAGTTGAAATGCTGAAGGGAATGTGGGATTCTACCATAAATGTCAGTGGACATCAAATGTTTGCTTCTGTGCATCAGAGCAAT